TAAATGCTGAATTTTATTTGTTTGTTAGCCGTGTAAAAAGACATTTTATTTCTCTTTAACTTTGTTTCCTTTTTAAAATATTACTGGGGGGCCTCACAGTACCTGAACCCCAGGGGCCTACACAATCTGAATCCGGCCCTGTTTGCATGACGTTGATTTGACATTTCATTTACATGCATAGTGGTTACATATCGACACAAATATACGATCATGATTTCCCGCGCACGATATATCTCGAGCGGGGCTCTGGGCGCGACGCATCGTGGCTAGACGAGACGATGGCCGATGGCTAAGAGCGAGGACCGGAGTGGCGGTGGCCGAGGAACGGAACGCTTCCGAGGTGACGTGCAAAGTAGCGCTGAAATCCGCGCGCGTGCGGTTGTTGGGATGGACCGCAGGGCCGCGAGAGATGCCGATGGCTCGGGGCGGCTTTCATCCAGCAGTGGGTTGGCCATGGCTGATGACGACGACGATCTCAGGAGTGATATCACCGCGAGGGCGTGAAGCGAAGAAACCATTTTTCTGCAACTTCCACGGTCAGCAGCCTCACGACAAGTCAGGGAGCGGCTCTGGGAGAGGACGCCACGGACCCAATTCAATAGGGCCACTCCAATCGGGGCCCCTCCAATAGGGCCGGCACCAATAGGAGCCCGTCCAATAGGGTCCGCCCCAATCGGGGCCGCGCTAATCGGAACCACCCTAATAAGAGCCCCTTCAATAGTGGCCGTGCCAATAAGGGCCTCTCCAAACTGGTCCCCACCAATATGCCCCTCTCACCCAACAATAGAGGGCGCTCCGTCATGCTCTGTAAAGAGCGGTGATTAAAAAAAAATTACTCCATACGTTCGTTAGTACGATGCAGGGGCTTCCATAAATTGACTGCAAAACAAAAATCCAGTTTGCTCTGATTTTTGTGCAGTCATGTGGGTGACAGGGATGGGAACTGGTTTAATAGTGGGCGGCAGAAACCCAGGTTCGAACGCAGGATATCAGCTGTGCCGACTCAGCGCGTCCGACAAAGCCATTCTGGCATCCACTGACACTCGGCCACCTTCAATATAGTGCAGAGTATTACATTAAACGTAAGGTTGCAAGTTTAATTCCTCTTTGGTGGAATTACTCAGCCCATCATACATTTTTAAGGCCGATAAAAATAGTTTCACTTTGTAAGATGTCGACGGTGGGTGTCTTCAAGATAAACTGGTCCCTGTCATACGAATGTGGAATTTCGACGGCTTGGGCCAGTGCTGCCAACAGTTACACCCACCAATTAGACCCACGAGCCACTTTGTCATTCTGTTAGTCTGGTATTTGCGATTCGTAAGAAAAACATTCATAAAAAAAATAATCATCCCAGTTAAAATCGATTCGTTGCTTTACATCTCTCTGTGTATCCTCCATTACTCTCTCCCTGCTCAGTGACGGCAGCAACATGTTCTAGGGGTGTGCCGGCCACGGCCAGAGGGCTTCGGGAGAGAGATCGCGTTGACCACAGTGGTTCACGACATGGTCCATAGTGCGGGTTGCATACAACGCCACCGTGGCGAGATGTTAACTACCTCGCCTGGTATACATGAGGTCGTGGGTTCGATACCGACCCTGAGGCCCGCTATATATATTTGGAGTGTGCGTGTCTCTCTCCCCGTGGTCACGTGGATTTTCTCCAGGTCCTCCGGGTTTTCCCTCCATTTATAATCACGCGTTTAGAATATTTGGCTGCTACAAATTTCCACACAAGAAGCCACTTTCGTTGAGCTATCATTTGTGGCCAGATCGCTACCGATAAAGAGCTACACAGCTCAGTAGGCCTTACCTAGTAAAATCAAAATAGTTTCTAGTTTCCATAGCATGGTCACAATTGCACTGTGGCTTGTCGTTACTGCATCTCATACAATAATCTATGGGTCTCTATGTATCTCTATGGGTCGCGATGTATCTCTACGAGTCTCTGGATTTACAATATGGTGCATATATTTGGTTGCATGTCTTAAATATATGTCTATGGGTCTCTATGCATAGCTTGAGATTGCCATGTATCTCTATGGTTTTCTAATGGTTTACAGTATGGTGCATAGTTTGGGTTGCATGTCTTTAATGCATCTCTTTGTATCTCTATGGGTCTCGATGTATCTCTATGGGTCTCTATGTATCGTTATGGGTCTCTATGTATCGCTATGGGTTGACAATATGGTGCAAATGTTCGATTGCATGGCCACAATCACACGACTGTGACTTGTCTTTAATATATCTCTAAATGTCTTTGGGTCTCTATGATTCTCTGCGGGTCTCTGTGTACCTCGATGCGTCTCCATGGGTTTACAGTACGGCCCGTAGTTTGCGCTGCATGGCCCAAATCGCACTCCTGTGGCCCAACTCAATCTCAGCCACGCGGCAGCCGTTGTGTTGACGGTAAACAGGGCACTGGGTATGTGGAAGGCTGTTGCTGGAAGCCGAGCACAACAATGTTGAACAAATTATCAACCAGCCGGCTCTCAAACAGGACAACAAAGCCGTGTTGTCGACACCGCACGAAATTAAACGGCAACACGTTTTGGTTTCCAACGGAAATTAAGCGTGGATTAAAATCAAATGCAATCACGATTCAGAAAACATTGCTCCAGCGATAACAAATAAATATACGTGGAATACGAGTGAAAATGTGTAAATCGTCAGTGGGATGACAATGAGTTTTGGTTCGGTGTCATGAGTAAGTTTGAGCACCGACACACATGACTAGAGAGAAACACGTACACGCACATAGAGTGTGGACGTCACACGAGCGAGCAAAGCTTCATCCGGAGCTTCTACAAAGAGGGTTACGAAACCCCGGCGTGGATCGCGAGACGCAACACGCGCCCGGGCAGGCCTCGTGCCGACCCACTGCGGGTCGTGGCCTTTGTGTGACCATACTTCACCGCGCTGGTCGGCGCGCGTTGGTGGAGGCAGGGCAGCGTAGACGTTGGAAGCGTAGGGCAACACAAGGGTGGATTTTGCTGCCCCGCCCTCTGCTGACTTCGCCTTGCTGGCCGCCTATAGCAGCTGTGTCGTGAATGGCTTTCGCAACAATCCCAGCTCGAACCAGGCTCCAGCCTGCTTAGTTTGAAATGTGACTGGATACATTTGGGGTTACTGTGAGATTGAGAACACTCGCCAAATGAGAAATTTGTAGAGATAGGATTGTGGGCCTGGATCATCATAACGTGACTTTGAGGGTCGTAATTATTTGCAGGCCGCGTGCATTTTAAATGGTCAAGCCGTGGGCCTTGACCATTTACAGCTAGCTTTGGAATCTCAAGGACCTTTGTGAGACTTGTGCCTTAATGTGCTCACGGCTATAATTTTAACCGGGTATTTCAACAACTGTCCAATGGATCGATTTAAAAAATAAAAAAAAGATAACGGTATACTGCGTTACCCTTGATTCACTACGCAATCTCGACATTCTGTGTAGGCCTGGTGTTTTTTTAAAAAGCCCCGCGGATATTTTCAAAACGAGGCCGTACGTCTACACAGGCACTGGAGGCGCGGACGCAATGAATTGCTTCGCGAAGTCACATACACCGGTCGAGAGCTCTGCCTTGTGGCTTGATCCTCCGTAGGCCTCATGGCTTTTGACTGCGCCGCATCGAGTACGTAAGACTCCTCACGTCGTCGTGACCTATGGCTAATATCGGGTGGCTATTCTTTTCTTTCGCAAGAAGGAAACTCGGCACCTACGGATGCCTTGTGTCTTGTGTGACACCTCGGAAATGGCAGCAGGAGGCAGGGTAAATCTTCACAACAAGTTCCTGCAAAAATAGAGAGTGAGAAAATGTTAACTCGGGTGCTAAGCAACGCGCCTCCCCACGCAAAGACTGCTCCCTGCCAAGTGAACGTGGAATTTCCACCTGGCCAACATTTACAAGACTGCTGCCTGCCATGGGAACGTGGAATTTCCACCTGCCCAACGTTTACGAGACTGCTGCCTGCCATGTGAACGTGGAATTTCCACCACTGGCTCAGGGTCACCAATGGAGGTGAGCGTTGTCCAGGGAGACCGATTTTGACGTCGGCTATAATTGTCCCAATGGGCTACAGAGAGCCCCGCCTGGAGGGTAGCTGGCCTACTCCTGCCCGCCTGGTGCGTGCCCAGACGTCTTGGAGGAAACGTGAGCAGCCACACTTTACCCACCCGCCACGTGAAACCCATGTCTCGAGTGAGGGTTCAACCCGCTCAGAGTGGACACGGAGGTGGTGGGGAGAGGTCCGGGACGCGTGCACACGGCGTTTGAACTGCCGCGCCGGGACGTGGAATAGAAAGCGGCGGGCCTCTGTCTCGCGAAGTCCAGCGCTGCCGTTACGCCGTTGTCACGCCGCTTCACGTCACCGACTCGTTGCGGCAAATGTTCGCACGCGCGCACGCGTTTGTGGCGTCGGAGGGGACGCTGGCTCACCGTGAACCCTCACTCAGTAGGACTCCCGGACCGCGCCGGGGAACGCGGGAGACACGAAGTCAGAGAGGCACGCTTGGATGACCTCCGTCTCCTTTTTGATGACCACGCTGCAGTAGACTGGCGTTTGGTAAGTGTAGGGCTGCTGATGCTGCTGCTGATGATCCTGCTGCTGAAGATGATTCTGATGTTGCTGCTGCTGATGGTGTTGATAATGACTCTGTTGATAATTCTGATGGTGATAACTCTGCTGCTGGTAATAATTCTGCTGCTGCTGATGATGATGAACATGCTGCTGCTGCTGCTGCTGACGGTGCTGACAACGATGGTGGCAATGCCTGCCCAGCGAGCCGTGGAGGGGGGCGCGCGGGTCCTGCGCGGGGAACGCCTGCGGGTACCCCTGCTCCGCCACCGTCGCCGCGGGATCGTCCACGAACGTCGCCCGCCCCCCGGCCATCGCCGCCGTCGCCCCCTCGTCTCCCGCCCACCCTCGCAGGAGCACCGCCCGGTAGAGGGAGGTGGGCTCCCCAGCCACGCCCGCGTACGTCTCGTACGTCTCGCCCTCCCGCTTCACGCTCGAGCCCGCGTGGCCCGCTCCGCCGGAGGCCTGCCGGCGGTAGGCGTAGGCCGCCTGCTCCTCCGCGCCCTCCTCCACCTCGCCGCGGCCCCACGCCTCCGCGTACCCGTGGCCAGCGCGGCGCCGGCGCGGCCGCCCGGCCCGCGAGGGAGAGGGCCCCGCGAAGCGCCGCGTCGCGCGCCGGCCACGCCGCTGCCTCGAGGCCTCCGCGGCCGCCGACGCACAGGCTCTTGGCGGAGAAGGAGGCCGCGCCGCCCGGGTGACAGAGCGCGCCGGCGGCTCCGTCCACGACCGTCCCGCCCGCGGCGCCTTCGCCCAAGAGCCGCTTGAAGCCGCCGGAGGCCGCCGCCCCCCTCTCTTCCCACAGCTCGGGCCGGGCGCCACCGGCGCCGGCGCTTGCCAGCAGGCCGAGCCACTTCGCCTCCTCCTTGCTCGGCTTGAGGGTGGCCGAGCCGTAAGCGACAGCCGGGGATTTGAAGATCGTCTGGGAGTCTGAGCCGAGCGTCGCCGCCGCCGCCGCCGCTGCCGCCGCTGCCCTCTTGGCTCTGTGAAACTTGCGGCTGCCCCAGTGGCTGCCCCTGTCTGCCAGGGCCACGCGGTTCGGCGCTGGCAGCGGGTACAGGGAAGGGTCTTGGCAGACGTAGCCGTGCAGCTTGCCGGGCGGCTGAGCATCGGCGTACCTACAGTGGAAGAGAAAAATGAACTTTGGTTGTAACCAGGTTTGATCCTGGCTTCCGATCGAGGTTTTTTGGACGAGATGTCAAGCGTTGTGGGGTGTTGGGGTTTAAAACTGGACAGCAAAGACTGCATGAAAAAGAATGTCTTGGGGCGCCACGGTGGTGAGATGTTAACTACCTCGACTGTTATACAGGAGGTCGTGGGTTCGATCCCAACCCTGACGCCCTGCTGCTGTATATTTGGAGTTTGCATAGTCTAACCGTTTTTCCCTCCACATTTAAATGAGAGCTCAACTTTGTTGGTCGATCATTTGTTGCCAGGTTGCTTCTGACAGAGAGCTATTATAGCTCATTGGGCCTTACCTGGTACAATAAAAATGGTTTAGTAAAATGTTGTATTGAAGTTGGGCTGTTTAATGTGTGCTCTCTAAGCTACTGGGAGTATGCGTGTGCATGAGCGGGTAGTGTAGCGCTGCACTATTAACCCGGCGACCCAAGTTCGGTTCCCACTAATGGCCTCGCCTAGGTTGACTCAGCCTCGAATGGGCACCCGGTGCAATGTCTAAACATTGCCGCTCGGGAGACAAAGGCGGCCGGGCGTGGTGATGGCCAGCGGCCCCCTCGTGTGCCACAGTGCCGGCCTTCATGGAGTGCTACTCGTTAGCAGCACTTGCCCGACAGCCTGTCGAGGCTATACATGGGACCTTTGTCTTTGTGTGCGTGCTCACTGAGCTGCGTGGCGCTGCTGGTGCCGGGACTTGGAGTGGCCCCACAGCCAGGCCTTGTCCCTGGGCACCAGGCGGAGACTGCCGCTGGACCGCTGCCCGTCGCCTGGATCGCACGACGCACACAACACAAACACAATGCACACACGACGTACACACAACACACACAACGCACACACGACGTACACATAACACACACACAACGCACACACGACGTACACATAACACACACACAACGCACACACGACGTACACATAACACACACAACGCACACAACACAAACACAATGCACACACGACGTACACAACACACACACAACGCACATATGACGCACACACAACGCACACAACACAAACACAATGCACACACGACACACACACAACACACACACACGACACACACACAACACACACACACGACACACACACAACGCACATATGACGCACACACAACACACACAACACAAACACGACGCACACGCAACACAAACACGACGTACACACGACGCACACACGACGCACACACGACACACACATGACACACACACACAAACACGACACACACACAACACAACACACACGACGCACACACGATGCACACACACACAACACACACAACACACACACGAACACGACGCACACACAACACAAACACGACGCAAACACGACGCACACACAACACAGACACGATGCACACATGACACACACACACACAACACACACACACAACACACACACAACACAAACACACGCGCTCCATCTCCGCGTTGGTGGTCGTCTCCCCAGGAGCGCGTCCCCCTAGACAGGACGGCGTCACCGCGCTACGAACCCGGCGCCCCGAGTTCGATTCCCGCTCGCGGCCAACACCGGCGACGATTGTCTGAACCTGTCCTGGGCCTCCCCGAGGTCGACTCAGCCTCAAATAATTACCTGGTCCGGTGTGTAATCATCGCCATTGGTGATACAAACGTGGCTGGGCGCGGTGCTGGCCACCCACGCCCTCGTGTGCCCTGCCAACCTTCATAGGCTACAAGATCTATAAGTATCTTGGGATCATCCTGGATTCAAAACTGAAATTTGAAGATCACATTGATTATATTGGTAAAAAGACAAAAATTGGTTTTCTGTATCGACACAAGCACTGCTTCCCCCCTATGTTCCGTTTGGAATTGATAAAAGCTACCATACTGCCTCGACTCGATTACTGTGACATCGTATACAAATCAGCTCCAAGTACTGTACTGAAAAAGCTTGACTCAATGTATCACTCGGCCTTAAGATTTGGATTGAACTGCCCATATAGAACTCACCACTGTGATCTTTACATTGGATCAAACCTAACATATCTTAATGTTCGACGGCTTGTGCACCAGATCTTATTTATTCACGATGTACTTACAAACAAATCCGCAGACTACCTGCTGGATCTCCTCTCTGTTGCGAAGAACAAATGTGACCTAAGGTCTTCGCTCATTTACCAGCTTCACGTTCCTTATTGCCGTACAAATACGGAGGAAGGGCCTTTGCTATTGATGCCCCCAGGGTCTGGAATGCAATTGCCAATAAACTGCAACTTGAATCATTACCTATGAGATCTCCACTCAAAACTGCTCTAGAGGAGTTGTACACCCCAAAGCTGCCACTGCTATTCAACGGCCTAAAATAAAATGTTTTCGTTCCGGATGACCGCTGCAACGTATGATCTTGTGTTTTGATTTAGTGTGCTGATATTTAAAGGTGCATTTGAAAAATGTTGATACTCTTACTGATGCTCCTGCTGTTGTGGAGTGACTCATGCAGCCAGCTATGGCTGCAGGGTTTGATGGTACATGTTGTTTATGTCGTTTATTGTGAAATTTCGGTCACAGTTCCTATGATCACTGTTACATTGCTTATGGTTTTATTTTGGTGATTTTGAAAAGTTTTTTGGTTTGGCCATGTTTGTTTGTTGTAGTACGGAGTTAGAATGATGGATTTAATCTAAGTAGTCTTGTGGTTGTTGTTATTTGACTTGCATCCCACTGGGATTTTTGCACACAGCGTTGGTGTACAGTGCTTTTTTTCTGGAAGACTTTGCAGTTTTTTCCTGGATTTTTCTGTTTGCACATTGTCACTTTAAGATGTTTTCTTGTTCATGTTTTTGTTTCTTGCGGTTGCACCCGATTCAAGAGCCGAATGGCTCACAGGGCTCTACCAAATAAATGAAACTGAAACTGAATAGGCACTACTCACTAACACCACTTGCCCCAACAGTCTGTTCAGGCTATGTGCCAGTGTGTCGATGTGTATCCGTGAGTGTATACGCGTGTGTGTGTGTGCGAGCATGTGTGTGTGCGAGCGTGTGTGTGTGCGAGCGTGTGTGTGTGCGAGCGGGTGTGTGTGTGTGTGTCATACCTGGCTGATACAACTTCCTTCCTTGTCCCATCGAGCCGTGATCTTTGCAATCGAGGAACTGTGGCCTGATTAAAAAAACGACGCAGCACAAACAGCATTTCAGTGGCCTATAGCAGCGCCGTGCAGCATGCGACCATGACTTTAAAGTCCCCCACCCACCATTAACAAAGCTACAGACTGTTGTCAGAACACCTGGGCCACAGCCTAAGTACAGACATACAAGAGATGTTACGTTTTGCTTCAGTTTTGCATCTTCCATGAAGGCTGAGTTAATCTAGGGGAGTTCCAGAGCAGGTTCCAAATAAAAACTGGTCATCAATGTTTTCTATGGCCAGGGATTGAACTGAGGTTGCCAGGTTCAAAGGGCAGCGCACATACATAGAGATACACACAGACACACAAAGACAAAGATCCCCCGTATAGTCTTAACAGACAGTTGTAGCAAGTGCTGTAAGTGAGCACCTATGAAGGCCAGAGCGGTAGACGAGGGGGAGGGTGGCCAAAACCACGCCCGCCCGCCGCCTTTGTCTCCCCAGTGGCGATGCTTTCACACCACTACACCAGGTAATCATTTGAGGCTGAGTCGACCTAGGGGAGGCCCTAGGCCGGTTCAGATAACCATCACTGGTGTTGGCCGTGAGCGGGAATCGAACCCGGATCTCCAGGTTCATAGCGCAGCGTGCTAACCGCTACACTACCGCTCCCCCCACACACTTACACACACACACACCACCAAACACCTACACATACACACAACAACAACAACAACCGCCATTCGCCACTAAGTGGCGGTGACATCACCACGACGCTTGTGCCAGGCCATGTGCACCTTGAGGCCACGTGAAGTGTCGAACGCCCGCTGGCAGGAGGTCACGGGGCAGACCCAGGTGCCACGGGTCGACTGACTGAGATGACTGAGATGACTGGCTGATGCACCACCTGTGCCCCCTACTGTGCCAACGTGCTGTGCTTTAGCCACCCGGTGTTCTGCTCGTTGTTGTGAGCGTCGCTCCTCCGCCCTCCGTTGTTGTTGGAGAGCGACTGCCTCCAACTGCCCAGTAGCGTCCTTCACGAGCCTCCTCCACTGAGGCCGATCTTGACACCGCTGGTACCAGTCATCGGCAAGTCCACTCAGCTCCACGTTCTCCTGTACCACATCACTCCATCTCTTCTCTAGCCCGTGCCGCGCCCGTTTAGCCCCCTCGATCCGGCCGAACAAAAGCTGTTTAGGTATGCGGTGGCTGGGCATGCGGGCTACATGACCCAGCCAACGCAGCCTTGCCTGCCAGAGGAGCTCACCGATGGGACTTTGCCCAGATCTTTCAAGGATTTGTGAGCTCCTCACACAATCCAGCCTGGTTAAACCCAGGATGGATCGTAGGCAGGCCAGCCTAAATGTTTCTAACCGGTGAAGATGCTTCATTTGGGGGGTCTCGTTTCGCAAGCGTAGGGAAGGGAGGGAATGACTGTTGCCGAGAAGACCTGAAGCTTCGTGCGGAGCAACAGACCAGGCAGCCTCCACACAGAGTTATGCAACCGATGAAAATATATTGTCGCTCGAGTGATTCGGAGTGAGACCTCCGCTGCCAAACTGGAGCCGGTCATGAGCACACTGCCCAGGCATGGTAAACTCTCCACTCTCTCCACTACTGCCCCATCAACACACACACACACACCTACACACACACACAACAAAGACAAAGATCCCCTGTATAGCCTTAACAGACTGTAGGGGCAAGTGCTGTTAGCGAGCACCTATGAAGGCCAGCACGGCACACGAGGGGGTGGGTGGCCAACACCACGCCCGACCGCCTTTGTCTCCCTAGTGGAAATGTTTACACACCGCACCAGGTACTCATTTGAGGCTGAGTCGACCTAGGGGAGGCCCGAGACCGGTTCAGATAAATCGTCACTGGTGTTGGCCGTGAGCAGGAATCGAACCCGGGTCGCTAGGTTTCGTAGCGCAGCGCGCTAACCGCTACACCATCTACAACAACAACAACAACCGCCATTCGCCACTAAGTGGCGGTGACGTCACCACGATGCTTGTGCCAGGCCAAGTGCACCTTGAGGCCACGTGAAGTGTCGAAAGCCCGCTGGCAGGAGGTCACGGGGCAGACCCAGGTGCCACTGGTCGACTGACCGAGATGACCGAGATGACTGGCTGATGCACCACCTGTGCCCCCTACTGTGCCAACTTGCTGTGCTTTAGCCACCCGGCGCTCCGATCGTTGTTGTGAGCGTCGCTCCTCCGCCCTCCGTTGTTGTTGGAGGGCGACTGCCTCCAACTGCCCAGTAGCGTCCTTCACGAGCCTCCTCCACTGAGGCCGATCTTGACACCGCTGGTACCAGTCATCGGCAAGTCCACTCAGCTCCATCTACACACACACCTACACACACATACCTACACACACACCTACACACATACACACCTACACACATACCTACACACATACCTACACACACACCTACACACACACCTACACACACACCTACACACACTACTACACACACACACCCATGCGCGCTCACCTGTCGCCCTCCGCCCCGCGGTGCCACCCGAGCGCCACCGTGCCCTCCTCCCTCTTGCCGCTGCCGCCGCCGCCGGGCAGCGCCGCGAGCGACACCACGGCGAAGAGCGCCACCGCCACCGGCCCCGCCGCGGGGCCACACGCGGCCGGGCAGGCGGTGGTGCCGGCCTGTCCCTCCAGCAGCTTCAGCCGGCCCTGGAACCTCAGCGTCTGTCCAGCGGCACCCAAAAAACGAATACACGTGAGCACGGGTGCACGTGTGTGCACGTTCGTGCGTGCGCGTGCGTGTGGGTGCGCGTGTGTGTGCGTGTGTTTGTGTGCGTGCGTGTGGGTGCGTGCGTGTGTGTGTGCGCGAGTGTGTGCGTGTGTTTGTGTGCGTGCATGTGTGTGCGTGCGTGTGTGTGTGCGCGTGTGTGTGCGTGTGTGCTGTGGGTGGTTGAACAGTGGAGTAGCAGTTAGCGCGCCGCGTTCCACCAGCAGGGGGCAGTATCCTCCTAGAACTTGACTTTAACACGCGGTCGCAGCTCGTTCTGTGCTACTAATATAATCCATGAGCAAGCTACCAGATGTGACTTTTTGGCGGTTATCAAAGTATAAAAAGTAAGCATAGGTTTCACCCTTCCTTTGTTTGGGTATGTTTGTTTTCGTGTTCACCACAAGTTCTGTATGTGGTGAATGTCGACTTGATGCCTCGCAAAATGTTTCTATCTGGTGTTTGAACATCTTCACCACAACTCCTGTTTTCTTTCCAAAGGGTAAAACCTTTTATTATTTTCTCAATATCATTCCATTAATAGAGGGAGGGAGGGGGGTTTGGATCATATCGCGTAAATATAAAATGTGACGTTAAACCCACCACCACCCGACACGGCCAATTGACAAGGGTTGTCACGTAGACGTCGTTTGGTCTGGTTACATGTTTAGTGAAACAAAGCCAATCAGCTGGACAGAGAGACAGAGAGAGATGAAATGCAGGACGTTCTCGACCAGGTTCAGGGGTGAGAAAAGAATCAATCGGACTAATCCGGGGCCGCCAAGCGATGCGGATGGGGCAGACCGACCGAGGTGAGAGCTGGAACTCCGCCTGTGCTCTCCGACTCAGCGGTGCGCAGCGCTGGGTCACGGCACGTTCTGTCCACGTGACAACCCTCACGAATTGGCCATGTCGGCTGGTGGCGGGGTCAATGAAACATTCATTTTTTTAAATGACGTCACGCACCTGGGGTGGGGGGGGGGGTCAGACATGTGTGGCGATGTGTGACGAGGGGGGGGGGGGTGATAAATGTGACGTCACATCAAAATTCTGCGCAACTTTAAATAAATATAGAATTGTTATAACAACACTAATTGTTATAACAACACTCCTACAACAGCAGAGTGCAGCGCCACATTAAATACGCACTACAATGACAATAGTTTAAAGCATGTTTTTTTTTCTTTGGGGGGGGGGGGGGGGGGGGGGAGTCAGAGCTTTGTGACGTCATATTCGAGGGGGGGGGGTCAAAAATCGTCCAAAATCGCGTGACGTCATTAATGGACGGCCCGCAACACAAAACGTTGATTACGGACGGAATGAGGGATTTTTCGCAAAGAGCTTGTGGGAAAAAAGGCCAAGAGTCAGAAGAGGCATCTGGAAGGAAGTGAGCCGAGGGGGGCATTGTAGGAGGCAGTGTAAGAGGAAGCTGGGGCAGCACGGGGCAGCACAGGGCAGCACGGAGGGAGTCGGAGCCTCGGAGAGTCCGGCAATGGGCGGAGGGCCAAAGATGGTGGCCAGGGTCGGCGTGGCCACGACGTGGCGCGAAGCTTCAGCCAGAACAGTCGGGGACGCTGCTTCCGTCTCGGGTGTTGCTGCACCGTGCAGTGTCTGTGTTGATGCACCACGTGGTGTGTGTCTGTGTTGATGCAGCACGTGGTGTGTGTCTGTGTTGATGCACCACGTGGTGTGTGTCTGTGTTGACGCACCACGTGGTGTGTGTCTGTGTTGATGCACCACGTGGTGTGTGTCTGTGTTGATGCACCGCGTGGTGTGTGTCTGTGTTGATGCACCACGTGGTGTGTGTCTGTGCTGATGCACCACGTGGTGTGTGTCTGTGCTGATGCACCACGTGGTGTGTGTCTGTGTTGATGTACCACGTGGTGTGTGTCTGTGCTGATGCACCACGTGGTGTGTGTCTGTGTTGATGCACCACGTGGTGTGTGTCTGTGTTGATGCACCACGTGGTGTGTGTCTGTGTTGATGCACCACGTGGTGTGTGTCTGTGTTGATGCACCGCGTGGTGTGTGTCTGTGTTGATGCACCACGCGGAGTGTCTGTGCTGATGCACCACGTGGTGTGTGTCTGTGTTGATGCACCACGCGGTGTGTGTCTGTGTTGATGCACCACGTGGTGTGTCTGTGCTGATGCACCACGTGGTGTGTGTCTGTGTTGATGCACCACGCGGTGTGTGTCTGTGTTGATGCACCACGTGGTGTGTGCCTGTGTTGATGCACCACGTGGTGTGTGTCTGTGTTGATGCACCACGTGGTGTGTGCCTGTGTTGATGCACCACGTGGTGTGTGTCTGTGTTGATGCACCACGTGGTGTGTGTCTGTGTTGATGCACCGCGTGGTGTGTGTCTGTGTTGATGCACCACGCGGTGTGTCTGTGCTGATGCACCACGTGGTGTGTGTCTGTGTTGATGCACCACGCGGTGTGTGTCTGTGTTGATGCACCACGTGGTGTGTCTGTGCTGATGCACCACGTGGTGTGTGTCTGTGTTGATGCACCACGCGGTGTGTGTCTGTGTTGATGCACCACGTGGTGTGTGCCTGTGTTGATGCACCACGTGGTGTGTGTCTGTGTTGATGCACCACGTGGTGTGTGCCTGTGTTGATGCACCACGTGGTGTGTGTCTGTGTTGATGCACCACGTGGTGTGTGTCTGTGTTGATGCACCGCGTGGTGTGTGTCTGTGTTGATGCACCACGCGGTGTGTCTGTGCTGATGCACCACGTGGTGTGTGTCTGTGTTGATGCACCACGCGGTGTGTGTCTGTGTTGATGCACCACGTGGTGTGTCTGTGCTGATGCACCACGTGGTGTGTGTCTGTGTTGATGCACCACGCGGTGTGTGTCTGTGTTGATGCACCACGTGGTGTGTGCCTGTGTTGATGCACCACGTGGTGTGTGTCTGTGTTGATGCACCACGTGGTGTGTGCCTGTGTTGATGCACCACGTGGTGTGTGTCTGTGTTGATGTACCACGTGGTGTGTGTCTGTGTTGATGCACCACGTGGTGTGTGTCTGTGTTGATGCACCACGTGGTGTGTGTCTGTGTTGATGCACCGCGTGGTGTGTGTCTGTGTTGATGCACCACGCGGTGTGTCTGTGCTGATGCACCACGTGGTGTGTGTCTGTGTTGATGCACCACGCGGTGTGTGTCTGTGTTGATGCACCACGTGGTGTGTCTGTGCTGATGCACCACGTGGTGTGTGTCTGTGTTGATGCACCACGCGGTGTGTGTCTGTGTTGATGCACCACGTGGTGTGTGTCTGTGTTGATGCACCACGTGGTGGTGTGTGTCTGTGTTGATGCACCACGCGGTGTGTCTGTGCTGATGCACCACGTGGTGTGTGTCTGTGTTGATGCACCACGCGGTGTGTGTCTGTGTTGATGCACCACGTGGTGTGTGCCTGTGTTGATGCACCACGTGGTGTGTGTCTGTGTTGATGCACCACGTGGTGTGTGTCTGTGTTGATGCACCGCGTGGTGTGTGTCTGTGTTGATGCACCACGCGGTGTGTCTGTGCTGATGCACCACGTGGTGTGTGTCTGTGTTGATGCACCACGCGGTGTGTGTCTGTGTTGATGCACCACGTGGTGTGTCTGTGCTGATGCACCACGTGGTGTGTGTCTGTGTTGATGCACCACGCGGTGTGTGTCTGTGTTGATGCACCACGTGGTGTGTGCCTGTGTTGATGCACCACGTGGTGTGTGTCTGTGTTGATGCACCACGTGGTGTGTGCCTGTGTTGATGCACCACGTGGTGTGTGTCTGTGTTGATGCACCACGTGGTGTGTGTCTGTGTTGATGCACCGCGTGGTGTGTGTCTGTGTTGATGCACCACGCGGTGTGTCTGTGCTGATGCACCACGTGGTGTGTGTCTGTGTTGATGCACCACGCGGTGTGTGTCTGTGTTGATGCACCACGTGGTGTGTCTGTGCTGATGCACCACGTGGTGTGTGTCTGTGTTGATGCACCACGCGGTGTGTGTCTGTGTTGATGCACCACGTGGTGTGTGCCTGTGTTGATGCACCACGTGGTGTGTGTCTGTGTTGATGCACCACGTGGTGTGTGCCTGTGTTGATGCACCACGTGGTGTGTGTCTGTGTTGATGTACCACGTGGTGTGTGTCTGCGTTGATGTACCACGTGGTGTGTGTCTGCGTTGCTGTACCACGTGGTGTGTGTCTGTGTTGGTGCACCGCGTGGTGTGTGTCTGTGTTGGTGCACCGCGTGGTGTGTGTCTGTTTTGATGCACCGCGTGGTGTGTGTCTGTGTTGGTGCACCGCGTGGTGTGTGTCTGTGTTGGTGCACCGCGTGGTGTGTGTTTGTTTTGATGCACCGCGTGGTGTGTGTCTGTTTTGGTGCACCACGTGGTGTGTGTCTGTGTTGGTGCACCGCGTGGTGTGTGTCTGTGTTGATGCACCGCGTGGTGTGTGTCTGTTTTGATGCACCACGTGGTGTGTGTCTGTGTTGATGCACCACGTGGTGTGTGTCTGTGTTGATGCACCGCGTGGTGTGTGTCTGTGTTGGTGCACCGCGTGGTGTGTGTCTGTTTTGGTGCACCGCGTGGTGTGTGTCTGCGTTGATGTACCACGTGGTGTGTGTCTGCGTTGATGTACCACGTGGTGTGTGTCTGCGTTGCTGTACCACGTGGTGTGTGTCTGTGTTGATGTACCACGTGGTGTGTGTCTGCGTTGCTGTACCACGTGGTGTGTGTCTGCGTTGCTGTACCACGTGGTGTGTGTCTGCGTTGCTGTACCACGTGGTGTGTGTCTGCGTTGCTGTACCACGTGGTGTGTGTCTGCGTTGCTGTACCACGTGGTGTGTGTCTGCGTTGCTGTACCAGGAAGCCCGAGGAGTTATCCTTGAGGCAGCGACACCGGCAGGTGAAGTTCCTGCTGAGAAGAGCAGCGGTCTCCTGTGGGAGGTGACGCGGGGGCTGTGGGAGAGGCTCCGGCCTGGGCAGTACAAAGGGGAACATCTTCTCTTCTGAGCGCACACGCAATGACAAAAAGACAAAGATCCACCGGATAGCCTTAACAGATTGTTGGGGCAAGTGCTGTTAGCGAGTAGCACCTATGAAGGCCGGCATGGCACACAATGGGGGTGGGTGGCCAGCATCATGCCTGGCCGCCTTTGTCTCCCCAGTGGCGATGTTTACACAGCACCAAGTACTCCTTTGAGGCTGAATCGACCTCAGGGATTCCCAGGATTGGTTCAGATAATCGCAACTGGTGACCCGACTCAAACTCGGGTCGCCGGCTTTGTAGCGCAGCACGCTAACCGCTTCACTACCGCTCCCCACACACAAACAAACACAAAGACACGCATATACACAGGCATACACACCAAGACAAAGATCCCCCGTTTAGCCTCTACCAGACTGGTGGGGAAAGTGCTGTTAGCGAGTAACACCTATGAAGGCCGTCACGGCACACGAGGGGGTGGGTGGCCAGCACCATGCTCCCAACACACACGCACGCACGCACCCCTCCGCGCGAAACCCGTATAAAGCGTTACATATCCCACCTTTGTGAGGTGGGCATGGATGACGCCGTATATACAAAAAATATATACAAACTAAAATACTATGGCTAATATAGCGGTCCACCCAGCCACGTGCACGCGAGCCGATTCCATCGCTCCATCTCCCCTCGGCTGGACGTGCCCTGTTGTCTGGGACGCATTCCGTTCCGTGGCTGCCGCTCCGTGCTGAGTCTCGACCGTCGGCCATCGCCGTCCCCTTCCGGCCGTGACGCCCCCCACTCTTAACTATGACGTCACGCACCTGCCGTCACGCGCCCTGCCCAGCAGCCCCGCCCCCCACTCGCCTCTTAACTATGACGTCACGCGCCCTGCCCAGCAGCCCCGCCCCCCACTCGCCTCTTAACTATGACGTCACGCGCCCTGCCCAGCAGCCCCGCCCCCCACTCGCGCCTCTTAACTATGACGTCACGCACCTGCCGTCACGCGCCCTGCCCAGCAGCCCCGCCCCCCACTAACTCCTCTTAACTATGACGTCACGCCCCTGCCACGTGTGTGCTCTCTAACCCACGTGCTCCTCTCGCTCTCGGTGTCATTCCAAAGGAACCGTGCGTCACAGAGGGTGGGGGTTCCGTCTGGACTGATTGAGAACGTTCTTGTTTGGGCCCACGTTGCCACGGTGCGCCAATGCAAGATGAGCTTTCGTAAAACAAAATAATTTGACTTTCCATTTCCGTGGCTGTGTGCGTGCGTGGCTGGGGCAGTAGTGGAGAGAGTGGAGAGATTCCCATACCTGGGCAGTGTGCTTATGACCGGCTCCAGTTTAACAGCAGAGGTCTGAACCCGAATCAGTCGAGCGGCAATATCTTTTCATCGGTTGCGTAACGCTGTGTGGAAGCTACCTGGTCTGTCGCTCCGCACGAAGCTTCAGGTCTTCTCGGCCACAGGCCTTCCCTCCCTTCTCTACGCTTGCGAAACGTGGACCTCCCTAATGGAGCATCTTCGCCGGTTAGAAACATTTAGGCTGGCCTGCATACGATCCATCCTGGGATTAACCAGGCTGGATTGTGTGAGGAGCTCACAAATCCTTGAAAGATCTGGGCAAAGTCCCATCGGTGAGCTCCTCCGGCAGGCAAGGCTGCGTTGGCTGGGTCATGTAGCCCGCATGCCCAGCCACTGCATGCCTTAACAGCTTTTGTTCGGCCGGATCAAGGGGGCTAAACGGGCGCGGAACGGGCTAGAGAAAAGATGGAGTGATGTGGTACAGGAGGACGTGGAGCTGAGTGGACTTGCCGATGACTGGTACCAGCGGTGTCAAGATCGGCCTCTGTGGAGGAGGCTCGTGAAGGACGCTACTGGGCAGTTGGAGGCAGTCGCCCTCCAGCAACAACGGAGGGCGGAGGAGCGACGCTCATAACAACGAGCGGAGCGCCGGGTGGCTAAAGCACAGCAAGTTGGCACAGTAGGGGGCACAGGTGGTGCATCAGCCAGTCATCTCGGTCATCTTAGTCGACCCGTGGCACCTGGGTCTGCCCCGTGACCTCCTGCCAGCGGGCGTTCGACACTTCACGTGGCCTCAAGGTGCACATGGCCTGGCACAAGCGTCGTGGTGATGTCACCGCCACTTAGTGGCGAATGGCGGTTGTTGTGACTGTGTGTGTGTGGCTGTGTGTGGGGAGCGGTGGTGTAGCGGTTAGCGCGCTGCGCTACGAACCTGGCGACCCGGATTCGATTCCCGCTCACGGCCAACACCAGTGACGATTATCTAAACCCGTCCTGGGCCTCCCCTAGATCGACTCAGCCTGAAATGAGTACCTGGTGCGGTGTGTAAACATCGCTACTAGGGAGACAACGGCGGTCGGGCGTGGTGCTGGCCACCCACCCCCTCGTGTACCGTTCCGGCCTTCATAGGTGCTCGCTAACAGCACTTGCCCCTACAGTCTGTCGAGGCTATACGGGGGATCTGTGTGGCTGTGTGTGTGTGTGGCTGTGTGTGTGTGTGGCTGTATGTGCATGTGGCTGTGTGTGCGTGCTTGGCTGTGTGCATTTGTGGCCACCGTAGATTCCTTTCTCCGCACGCTAAGATGTGAAGTATCTGCTGATGCTGCTGCTTCGCTAGTGGTGCACAAATCACCAAACTCAACACCCTCATCAACAGCACCGCCTTAAATAGGAAAAATATACAACAGGTGATGCACATGTTGAAGCCGATGCCCGAAACGTCGCCTATTATGTTTCCATTTAAGGCCACACACAGAGAGTGTTGTTGCCGAACGCGTTTTCATGTGGAGAGTTGAGTTTCATCCCCCCCTCCCACCGCCACATCATATTTAGTTTGATTTTGCACCTAATTCGACTAAATTACACCTCTGAGAATTATACAAATATCGAATTGGCTGCCACGGAGCGGCGCGGGTGATAAGCCCCCCACCCCCCGATGGACATTGGTGCAACAGACGGGAGGACGCAACTCAGCACCTCGTCCGTGTGCTCGGCGGTGCACGAACATCGCCCGTCCCTTCTCGACGGCGCACAGCGTTGCCCCCTCGCACGCGTGGGTTTCCTCGGGGCGCTCCGGGTTTCCCTCCCGCGAGCGCACCGACCGCCTTCACGAATAGAGGACCGCAGAGCTCGGGTGATTGTTGCGCGGAGGTGCAGCGCGACAAGTTGAGAATATCTTCTTGGTTCTTTCGGTAAAGTCACGTAGAAGGGAAATAATAAAATAATAAAAATAAAACATAATAAAATAATTCTCACGACGTTTCGGCCATAACGCAAGCAGCCGACGGCTTTACCGAAAGAACCAAGAAGATGAATCCCTGCAGTCACGAAAACTTTAAATCGAAAGTTGAGAATAATCATCATGATGATGATCATTTTCAGTGCTCCTGCTGCTGCTGCTGTCACCTTCCCGTTTGTCTGTGGTTCCTCCTCCTGGCAACTCGCGACTCTGAGTCCGTTCCCTTCCACGAGAGCGGTGAGCGGATAAGTTGACAACAACAACAGCTATTATTATAGTGACGATGATGCTGCTGCTGCTGCTGAAAATGACAACAGCAACGGCTGTAACCCGAGACCCGATGTGGAATCACTGTCATTAGCGGGGCATTATTAAGGGGAGCGCGCACGCGCGCGTGTGTGTATGTGTGTCAGTGGGGAGCGGTGGGGTATCGGTTAGCGCTACGCTGCGCTGCGAACCCGGTGTCCCGAGTTCGATTCCCGCTCACGGCCAACACCAGTGACGATTATGTGAACCGGTGTTGGGCCTCTCCTAGGTCGACTCCGCTTCTAATGAGTACCTGGTGCGGTGTGCAAACGTCGCCACTGGGGAGACAAAGGCGGCTGGGCGTGGTGTTGGCCACCCCCACCCCCTCGTGTGCCGTGCCGGCCTTCATAGGTGCTACTCGCTAACAGCACTTTCCCCAACAGCCTGTTCAGGCAAAACGGGGATCTTTGTCTTTGTGTATTTGTGTGTCAGTGTAGGCGTGAGTGTGTGTGTGCGCATTCAATAGAAAGCGCCACCTTTTGCGGTGATGCTGCATTGGCCGCGATTCAGTGGGGGGGGGGGGGGGACACACGCGTGTGCGGGCGGACTGCGCAAACACGGCGAGAGGGACGTGCGAGCCGGCGGGCTGCTTCGAACCGCGGGTGACGTGACCCTGGGCAAGGTAACTCAAGGCGTTGTTTACAGAAGTTTAATCGTTACGTTTGCTCGCCTTCAATTGCAAGGGGTAGGCCGTCTCTTTTAATGTATCGCCTGGAGACCGAGAGCAATTAGGCCGCTTATTAACAATGGGCAGCCTGTGCCTGCGTGTGGCGGGCGGGGGGCGGGCGGTTGAGAGGCTTCCTTGGCGAGCCGCCGGGCTCGCTGTTACTCGGCACACATCAATGGGGCTGGTTCAATGTCCCAACGTGGACTAGAGACACACAGCCCCCCCCCCAACGCCCCCCCCCCCAACGCCCCCCCCCCCCCCCCGCGAGGCTTCAACCCGCCACTCTCTGGCAAAGGCTCGGAGACAAAAGGGATAAGCAGGCAGCAGGGATTGAAATCGGATTTTAGTTCGCTTTTAAGGTGCTGAATGTTACCGCGTGGCTTGGCTCTGTGTCACACAACAACAATATCGACAACCGCGATTCGCCACTAAGTGGGGGTGACGTCACTGCGGCGTCAGTGCCAGGCTAGGTGCACTTTGAGGCCACAGAAAGTGTCGAACGCCGACTGCCAGGTCACGGGAAAGACCGCAGATGCCACGGGTCGACTGACTGAGACGAGTGCCGATGCACCACCTGTGCCCCCTACTGTGGTGCCACCTTGCTGTGCTTTAGCCGTCCGGCGCTTCGCTCACCACGTGATCTCCGCGTGATCCAAACCAATCATCAACAGCAGCAGCCACGGGCTGTACACTGCTGGATGGGAGCCTTCCCCCAGGCCGCCACCGTCATTCATAATCAGAATATGTATTGATACTGGAGGAATCTGATCAGAATGTAACAACAACAATACAACAACTTAATAGGAGTGCAACGTCTAGGAAAGGTAAACAAATTAGTAAACATTAAAATAAGCGATGTTTTATTTTACTAGGTAAAGCCCACCGAGCTATGAGCTCTCTTGTTTCAGAAGCGACTCTGGCCACAAATGAAAGCTCAAGCAAGCGGCTGGTCGTGGCGTGGACATTGAGAGCAGCGAGGGAGCTGCATTGCCACGACCCGTCTCCTGCACGGGAACCGATGTCACCGTGCTCCATCCCCATGACGGTCGTCCTCCCGGGCAGCACGTTCCCTCCTTTGGCTGACATTCCGTCACCAGTCTTGCCCCCCCCCCCGTCTGTTTCACGTTTACAGCGGGACGTCGTCTCCTACCCGCGTGCGTTCCCGGATCCGTGTGCTCGTCCCCCCCTCCCTCCATCTGTTCAATGTATTTAATTTCCCGGCGTGCAACTCTCCCCACGGCTTCTTTGCGTCTGTTCCAGCCGCTGTACCGATCTGCTGGTCAGCCTCTAGGCACGGATCCGAGTCCGCACGCCACAGCTGGAGATGCGGTGCGCATCGCTTGTGAACGTTTTTCTCTCGGACACATTGCTCCGCCGTCGTATCTCATTGTTAAATTAAACAAATCTGAAAGCGCTGCTTTCCAAGCCGCCCTTGTCCACCAATTTATCTCACTAAATTTGATGCGAAACTCACCATCATCGACCGGCCCCTTACGTGCGTGTACTCCCCTACGTTTTCCTGGTCGCGGTCCCTCCAACGATGATTTCGATTCGGCAAAACCCCATCGTACGTACGCATGCATGTTGAACTTCTTTCGCGCCGTACGTGGCAAACCATTGCGCCCAGCGTGTGCACGACAGCCACCCTGGCAGGCCAGCCAGCCGTTTGTCTGTTCAAGTGGTCAACAGCTTTGAGTGGATGATGTGTATATTTGATGTGTGGATTAAAGGCTTGCCACTGTGCTTCTGCTGAAGCGCCTGCTCTCAAGAATTGTCTTTGCCATTGTTTGAGCAGGGCAGCCACAATGCAAACATACCCCAGGGCGATATAATAACGACCTCACCTGGTATGTAGGAGGTCTTGGGTTCGATCCCGACCCTGACGCCTATTTGGAGTTTGCTTCGGGGCGGTAGGGGGTGGGGAGATCACCCCCCCCCCCCAATACCCCAATTTGCGACGCCAAGAAATTGGAACCCTATTTGGGGTATTTACCGGAGAAAACACATTGGGGTGTTTATTGTTTAAAAAGTTTGGACATTTCTGGACCGTCCCTCAGCTTGGGAAGTTTCCAGAACAAACCTCCGGCAAGAGGTTGTAAGAGTAACCCACTTGCCGCACTACTCTCTCCCGGCAGCAGCGAGGTCACCGCCTGGCCTGCCGGGAGCGTTACGGCACGCGCCCATCTCCGCTTGGTCCACCGACCCCCGGTTTCCACGGAGCCGGGCTCACAGACAGGCGCCACCCTCACCTGCTATTAATAAGTGCGCCGACCGGGGTGTGAGTTTTTACAGTGCGACACCCTGTCACCACCGCCGCCACCATCAGAGCGTCGTCAACGCCAGCGGCTGTCCCGGGGGGCGTCGCACCCTCCTCGCGCCAGGGGCCAGTGGGGACGCTAATCGTGCGACGCCGTGGCACCCGTCGCTAGTCCGGTCACAACGCGGCACGGCAACTCGGAGAGGCGTGGGGCGATGCGAGGCGACGCGGAAGAGACACGGAGCGACAGCGGCACGGAGAGACACGGGACAACAGTGACACGGAGAGACACGGAGAGACACGGAGAGACGCGGAGCGGAAGGGAGACACGGGACAACAGTGACATGAACAGACGCGGTTTGACAGGAAGAGACACGGAGTGACACGGAGAGACACGGAGCAAAAGGGAGAGACACGGAGTGACATGGACAGACACGGAGTGACACGGAGAGACACGGAGTGACACGGAGAGACGCGGAGCGGAAGGCAGACACGGGACAATAGTGACATAGACAGACACGGAGTGACATGGAGAGACACTGAGTGACACGGAGCAAATATAAATCAGCACAAGAAGAAGTGCGTGGCACAGTCTCTCGCTCGGTGAGCACATTGCTGGTGGCACCGGCCCGCCCGCCCGCCCGCCCTCTCACCGGTGCCGTCGTGGCGAGCGCTGCCCGGCGCAGCCGGGAGCAGCCGCAGCTGCTGCCGGAACGTCTGCCGGTCCTCGGCGTGCAGCAGCTCGTAGATGCTCTGGTGCAGCACGTCGCACTGCAACCGCCGACACAAAGACAGAGGTCCCAGCCCGTGTAGCCCACGCAGGCCGCTGGGGCAAGGTGCCGCTTGCGCGCGGCGACTATTAAGGTCGTGACGGCGCAACAGCGGGCGTTGTGGCCGGAAAAAAAACCGCGCTGCGTAATCATTTTGAAGGCTGAGTTGACCTAAGGGAGGGGTCTGGGACCGGTTCGGATGTTCGCACTTGGATGTTGAAGTCGGGTCGCCGGGTACCTGGTGGTATCCCAGGTACGCCTCGATGGTGTGGGAGGCGTAGAAGATGGTTCCTGCTGCTGTCACCACCATCATGAAGCCGTCCAGAGCCTGCGCAGTGCGGCACAGACACACACACAGATCGCCTCGAATATAGCCCTTGACAGACTGTTGCGGGGGGTGCTGTTAGCAGGGAGCACTTGGTGAAGGCCGGCATGGCACACGAGGGAGTGCGTTCAAGTTCAAGTTCATTTATTAGGTATAGCCCTGTGAGCCATCCGGCTCTTGCGTCGGGTGCAACCGCAACAAACAAAAAGAAAAATCATGAACAAGAAAACATCTTAAAGTGACTCTGTGACTATGTGCAAACTGAAAATCCAGGAAAAAAACAGCAAAAATTCCAGAAAAAAGCACCGTACACCAACGCTGTGTGCAAAAATCCCAGTGGGATGCAAGTCAAACAACAACAACCACAAGACAACTTAGATTAAGGCCATCATTCTAACTCCGTACTACAACAAACAAACATGGCCGAACCAAAATACTTTTTTATAAATCACCAAAATAAAGCCATAAAAGCAATGTAACAGTGATCATAGGAACTGTGACCGATTTTTCACAATAAACGACATAAACAACATGTACTACCAAAACCCTGCAGCCATAGCTGGCTGCATGAGTCACTCTACAACAGCAGGAGCATCAGTCGGAGTATCACATTTTTCAATGCACCTTTAAAATCAGCACACTAAATCACAACACAGAAAATACTTTGCAGCGGTCATCTGGAGTGAAACATTTTATTTTATTTTAGGCCACTGAATAGCAGTGGCCAGCACCATGCCCGGCCGCCTTTGTCTCCCGAGTGGCGATGTTTACTGCACACCGCACCAGGTACTCATTTGAGACTGAGTCGACCTAGGGGAGGCACAGCACCGGTTCAGATAATTGTCACTCGTGTTGGCCGTGAGCGGGAATCGAACTCGGGTGGCCGGGTTCATAGCGCAGCACGCTTACCACTAGACTACCACTTAGACTAGTGGTAAGCGTGCTGTGACTACCACTTAGACACAGACACACAGGCACACACACAGACACACAGACACACAGGCGCACAGACACACAGGCACACACACAGGCACACACACAGACACACACACACTGACAGGCACACACACTGACACACAAACACACTGACACACAGGCACACACACAGACACACACACAGACAACAAAACAAAGATCCCCCATATAGCCTTAACAGACTGTAGGGGCAAGTGCTGTTAGCGAGCACCTATGAAGGCCGGAACGGTACACGAGGGGGTGGGTGGCCAGCACCACGCCCGACCGCCTTTGTCTCCCTAGTGGCAATGTTTACACACCGCACCAGGTACTCATTTGAGGCTGAGTCGACCTAGGGGAGGCCCGGGACCGGTTCAGATAAGCGTCACTGGTGTTGGCCGTGAGCGGGAATCGAACCTGTGTCGCCAGGTTCATAGCGCAGCGCGCTAACCGCTACACTATCGCTCCCCACCACACACATAGACACACACACAGGCACACACACTGACACACAGACACACAGGCACACACACACAGGCACACACACTGACACACAGGCACACACACACACAGACACACACACAGACACACAAGCACACACACAGACACACAGACACACACACAGACAAACAGGCACACACACTGACACACAGACACACAGGCACACACACAGACACACAGACACACAGGCACACACACAGACACACAGGCACACAGGCACACACAGACACACATGCACACACGTGCCCATGTACTCTTTAGACAGCACGCTTGCACGCAGCGATACATTCAATAACAAACAAACTCAACACATCCGTCAATGACAACAACACCCTGTGTGTACGTGTGTGTATACTTGTGTGTGTGTGTACGTGTGCTGGGGAGACAAAGGCGGTCGGGCGTGGTGTTGGCCACCCCACCCCCTCGTGTACCGTTCTGGCCTTCATAGGTGCTCGCTAACAGCACTTGCCCCTACAGTCTGTTATGGCTATACGGGGGATCTTTATCTTTGTATACGTATGTGTGTGTGTATGTGCGTGTACGTGTGTGTGTGTACTTGTGTAGTGGGGAGCGGTGGTGTAGCGGTTAGCGCTACGCTGCGCTATGAACCTGACGACCCGGGTTTGCTTCTCGCTCACGGCCAACATCAGTGACGATTATCTAGACTGACCCTGGGCCTCCCCTAGGTCGACTCAGCCTCAAAATTAGTAACTGGTGCGGTGTGTAAACATCGCCACTGGGGAGACAAAGGCGGCCGGACGTGGTGTTGGCCACCCACCCCCTCGTGTGCCGTACCAGCCTTCATAGGAGCTCACTAACAGCACTTGCCTATACAGTCTGTTAAGGCTACACGGGAGATCTTTGTCTGTGTGTATACGAGTACGTGATAGTTTAGCGGTTTGCGCGCTGCACTACGAACCCGGCCACCTGAGTTCGCCTCCCGCTCATGGCCAACACCGGTGACGGTTATCTGAACCGGTCGTTGGCCTCCCCTAGGTCGACTCGGCCTCAAGTGACCACCTGGTGCAACGTGCTCGCTAACATCTCATTCAGGCTCTCTATACGTTGGGATCATTGCCTGTTTTTTACTGACTTACGTACACTCTAACGGGGGGCGGGGGGTGGAGGGTGCTGCCTAATCTATATCGAAGGCCCTCGATAACAATGCCGCTGCAACACCGTCGAAGTTTTTGTTTTTACTCGACAAAAGATTTGTCCAAGCGCCCATCGCGAGAACGCTGGTGCGCAGGGAGGGGGAGGGGGGGCGCTCTCTTCGCCACTTCTCACTCCTCGTCGTCGTCGGCGAGGAGGAGGAGGAGGGCGAGGTGATAATTGTGTTGCGAGTGCGGCGCTCCGCGATGTCACGAAAGCTACAGATGAGAGGCGCTAATTGTCAGGAGTTTTGGCCACACAACTCCCCCACCGCCCCAGCCAAGTGTGTATATATAAAGGTGCTCACCTATGGGATGCTGCCGTGGGTGTCATTTATTATTTTTATTATCACGACGGAAAGCCTCACCGACGACCCAAGATTCGTTTTAAGGGGATTCCTAGCAAGGGCGCCGCGATGGTGAGATGTTGACTACCTCGCCTGGTATACACGAGGTCGTGGGTTCGATGCCGACCCTGACGCCTGCTGCTACTGCTGCTGTGTATTTGGACTCTGCGTGTTCTCCCTGGATTTTTTCCCTCCACATTTAAAGCGCTGAGAGTGTTTGGCCGCGATAAATGTCGACGTGATAAGCCACTTCGTCGAACGATCATTTGTGATCGCCAGGTCATTTCTGAATGAGACCTATATAGTTCAGTGGGCCTTACCTGGTGAAATGAAAACAATAAAAGTTAAATGTAGCGTGGCACAGTGGTTTAGCTTTACGTTTTGGTTTTTGCCGGAGAAGGCGACAATACCTGTGCATACTCTTAGGTGTTTTCGGTAAAGTCACGTAGGTAAAAAATAACATTAAAATTAATAAAAGTAAAATAAAAAAATCACGACGTTTCGGAGGCAACACAAGCTTCCGTCTTCAGGTGGAACCGTCACAGCACGATAGCTGTATCAAGTGACGGTTCCACCTGAAGACGGAAGCTTGTGTTGCCTCCGAAACGTCGTGATTTTTTATTTTTTATTTTACTTTTATTAATTTTAATTTTATTTTTTACCTACGTGACTTTACCGAAAAAACCTAAGAGTATGAATCTTTCCAGTCACGAAAGCTTCAAATCTATAATTCCTGTGCAGTTACCAAATCCGTAAACTGCGGTGTAGACCGTGCCTCACCACGGACTGCACGGAATGTGTATCACAGCGTACGGTTGATACATAGCAGCACCGCCGCAGTATTAATCAGGGCGGCCCGTCGGAATCGAACTGCAACCGGCGTCCGGCAGAAGTCGCCGGCTCGATTCCATCTGCCGGCGCCGCAGTTGAAACGACGGTGGCAGGATTCTGAAATCCGCCCCACGCCCTCCGTCCACCCAGCATTGATTTTAGACGGGAACACCACCACGCGAGTGTGGGTATGCCCACCGCTTCAAAGATGTCTGGGCAGTGTGGAAGAGTAGGCCAAATATCCACTCGAGGGTGCTCTCCAGAGCTCCCTCGTGCGGAGGAGCTTCCGCCAGCAAGTCGCGTGAACGAGTATTGCAGGGGCTGCTCCTTCACTTTTTAAATCCTTTATATTAAGTTCACTTGCTTGCTTGCGTGCGCGCTTACGACCGTGCAAATCTTTAGGTCGTTTTTTAACCCACTTCCCGTGATCCAATCGAGCTGACATTTTGCACACAGACTCGTTGTGCGTGACAAAAAATTTTCGGGAAATTTTTTTCTCCAAATTTTTACACTTTTTAGGATTTTTTTAAAATATTTAATTACCAATTGCTTAATTGTGGCAGGCAATCATCTGACTCATAGGTGGCAGCCATCTCAAGCCAGGGGACGAGAGGACTCTAGCCGCCACGCATATAAAGGATTTATAGTAAAAATCTTTGTTTTTACGGGTTAATTTTTTACACATTTCTCATGTGCGCGCACGAGCACCTTCGTACGTGCACTCACAGAATCACTCGCTAGCCTTGTGGGGGAGGTGTGTGTGGGGCTGTTGGTGTGCATGTGTCAGTGAGCACCTCTAAAGGCCAGCACAGTGCATGAGGGGGGAGTGGTGATCGTTGCCACCACCACGCAGAGTCGATGATGTTTACACACCGTGCCAGCTCCTGGACCGGTTCAGATTGTCACTGCTGGTGTTGGCCATGGCCGCGAATCGAACTCGGGTTGCTGGGTGTGTAGTGCAGTGCGTTAACCATTGCACTACCGCTCCCCGCCACACAGAGACAAAGATCCCACGTGGATAGCCTTAACAGACTGTTGGGGCAAGTGCTGTTAATCCACGACGGGGTGGTTGGTCCGCACCACACCCGCCCGCCTTTGTCTCCCCAGTGGTCACATGTACACATCGCACCAGGTAATCATTTGAGGCTGAGTCGACCTAGGGGAGGCCCAGCACTGGTTCAGATAATCGTCACTGGTGCTGACCGCGAGTGGGAATCGA